TGGAAGGGATTAGCTTTGGGATGGGCGAACAAAATGTTTCATAAACGAAATGTTTTGCAACGTTTGTATAGCATTGGAACAAAACTCTGGCATGGAAAGAGTTACATGAGAAAAACCAGCTTTCCAGAATTACTATAACCCGGATGGTGGATGTTTTTTTTCTGGTGTCCTGAGAGTGAAGATCTGGATTTAGTGCTGAAGCCCTTTCTGAACTGGCAGGTGGTTTCGGAGCCAGAACTGTCTGGCTTCCCTTCATTTCTGAAGCGATGCACGTAGACTTGTGGCAAAAGTTAAGTGTTCGGGAACAGCAGCGGCACTGCAGATGAGGGCGGGCGAGGAGATGTAGCTCCTGCTCCTGTCTCTTCTTTCGCCAGTGGTAATATCCTTAATGGAAGATCATCTCAATCAATACCTCCAGGCAGCTGTTAACTGACTGGGATAATGGAATCAAAATGAGTTAGTGCGAATGGGGCTTCCTCGCTGCTCTGGTATTAAAGATGCCTCTGCCCTGTGAGAGTCAGGGGGCTGCTGAGACCCACAGAAGACAATCTCTCTTCACATCAGCAAACTATGTCAGACAAGAGGAACCTCTTTTGCTGGGCAGGACTCTGAATGGGGCCGCTGGTCTTCTGGCCAACAAGCTGGGAGCTGTGGCCTGATTGCCGTGTGACACTGAACCCAGGTCCTAACTCCTGGAGGGACTCTAGAAGGAAGGAGGAGAAGAGGTGTGGAAACAAAACATCTGCCTCGGTCGCTCGTGATCAAAGCCAAGGCAATGTCATCGTTGGTGAAAGAGGACCTCAACAAGAAGCTGTTCAAATCCCTTGGGCAAAGGTTGTATGAGTTCATTGAAGTTGAGTGTTCGGGCAAGGATCGCTTCTACCTCTGCGCTTCAGGTAAATAGGGAAGGGCCTAACAAGGTCCAGGCTACAGCTATCCAACCTGGTGTAGGGACTAAGAGTGTGAGTTGGGAGCCAGAAATTTCTGATTCAAAGCTCTCCTTAGTCATAAACTAATGTGGCGCCTTGTAGAGAAACCACAGTTCTCTCAGTCTCAGTCTATATGCAGCAGAAAGGTAATGTAACGGACGTTTCTGATATAATGTGTGTGGGATGCTTTGAAAAAATCCAACACAAATGTTAAATATTCATATTTGACAGGGGATCTCCTGGCTGCAATTTCATGCCATTTCCAATAAATCTGATGTATTATGATTAATGGTATTTATTTCCAAGTAAGGCAGCAGTCTTAAGCACATTTGCTTGGAATTATGAAATCAATGAAATTTTCTTCAAAGCAAATGTGACGGGGATTGGACTTTGAAAGTGTTTAGAGTTAAGAGGCTGGTGCTTCCCACAAGTCCAAGAAAAAGAATCTAGTTTTACAGTAAATTCTAATGCATGGTTACTCAGAATTCAGTTGTACTTATTTTAATGGGGCCTACTCCTAAATAGGGGGTTTTAGCTGATAGCTTGAGTTTGTTTGTAAATGCTTATTTACATCTCACTGTGTCAGTTGTAGGCAGACTGCATTTAATATTGTGCCAGCGAAATGGCATCTTCCTTTTCAATCTGCAGTACTAAGCCTGTTTCCCATTAGATGTAATTCTTACTGCGTTCATTTTCAAGCCAATGTGCTCAGGATTGACTTATCTTAATTGTTTGTTGCCATCTCCCTGCACGCTTCAAGTTGGCCCAACTCATAACAGTGTTTACGGGTTCCCTATGTCTTCCAGTAATTGAGAAATGTGTGAAGCTAGAAGATATTGTAAGTTTGTGGGTTTTGTTTGCATTGTAGTTCTGGTAGCCGTTGTAGAGGATTTGTTAGTTTTTTCTTCTTATGTAAGTACAACTACAAATTGTTTAGATATTTGTTGCACTGCTTTGAGCCTTGATACTAGGTGTTTTTGCAGTGCAATAATTTATCACCACAAATCATCACCAATAGAGCTATTTTGGTAGTTTAACAGAGATGCTAATCAGAAGTTTGTATGTGTGTAAAATTTCCTGCAAAACCCTAGGGAAAGATTGTCCTCTTTTCTTCCCAATATGGTAATATAAGCACCTGTAACATGAAGCAAATAATTTTGTAGTCAGAGTACTTTCAAAGATTTTTTTCAATGAATTGAAAGACTTTAATATCCTTGTTTATCTTCTACTTATATTTATCACCTAAATGTATGGTGCATGTGCTCTATTATCACCCATCTTGGGGGTGAGGTATGCCACTAATATGAAGATCTCCTGTTTGCATTGTTTCATGCTGCTAAATATTTCCAAATGCAAGACCTCAAGAGAATGTAGAGGGACGAATTTTCTTCTGAAATAGTGGGGGAGCAACATTTTTGTAATCAATAGGACTGTACAAAAGGGGGTGAAGAAATCGTTTTTGCCCAGAATATTAGGAAAGAAAAAGCAGGGACACCATCAAAGGCCTCCACCTCAGATTCAATGAACATTAAGGCAGAGAATCAGAATGGGTGGTGAATTAATGGATTGGAGGACAGAATGCCTCTGGGGCAAAACTTGCTTCCTTATCTATATAGCCGAAGATATTAAATTGCTGGTCATGAGAGATTCTTTTCCTAGAAGACACATTTGCTCTTGCTAGCCTCCTTCACGCTGCCCTTTTGCAGGTGCCATCTACTAAACCTCCCTCAAAACAACATCCTTCAGTATCTGCATTTTTCTCACTTGAAATCCAGCGGTTGTTTGCTTCACTGCTGGGCAAAAATTAACATAGACCAAACCAAGATTCAGTAAGTCACTATGGAGTTTCAGAACCTACTGCTGCCTCTGAAATTCATTTTGATATTCACAGTCCTCACCTTGCTTTACCCAGAGCTTCACCCTGACAGTCACAAGAGGCAGATATAGGGGAGCGCAACTGGTGGAGTCTCACCAGTTACAGAGCTTCTGGCGCCACCACTCTTACGTCCAATGGAAGGTGAGAGGTGGTGGGCACCAAATTTTGGCACTGCACAAGGTGCCACTGAAATTTGAGACACCGAGGTCCGCCAATGCACCCACATTCCTATTAACTTTAAAGGCAACTTGGTTCCAATCAATTTGCTTGACAACTGGGTTGTGCAAAGAAAAACTATGTACAGTGGTACCTCGGGTTAAGAACTTAATTTGTTCTGGAGGTCCATTCTTAACCTGAAACTGTTCTTAACCTGAGGTACCACTTTAGCTAATGGGGCCTCCTGCTGCCGCTGCGCCGCCACCATGCGATTTCTGTTGTCATCCTGAAGCAAAGTTCTTAACCTGAGGTACTATTCCTGGGTTAGTGGAGTCTGTAACCTGAAGCGTCTGTAACCTGAAGCGTCTGTAACCTGAGGTACCACTGTAATTGTCTTCCAAAATTGCTTTAAAAGGAAAGGCTATATTTAGCAAAGCAGTGGCCAGTTTCCAAAGAGGCAAACTAGCTGCATACAAACAAAGGCAGCAGTCTTTCATGACACATGGCAAAAAACTTTTGTAAGTGAAAATTTTCCAAAAGCAGTTTGTGATATGGTATAGAAGGCTGGCCTTCTGAACAGGAAATGTCAAAAATAAATAAATCCATGGGGCCTGCCCAATCCTTTGTATGTATTTAAAATAGCTCTTAGGTTTCAGTCAATGTATTCAGTATCATGGTTCAAAGTGACAGATCTAGCTGTACTCAGAAATAAACCACACTGGAATTAATAGGATTATCTTCAAAGTAAGTATGCTGAGGAATACCTGTGGATATTCATAGCACTTTTATATATAAAAAAGTATATTAAGAGTTGGGCTTTTAAACATACACACACGCGTGTTGCATCATGCAAATCACACAAAGTGTATCAGTTACAAAGTGCATATGCATACATCATTCTTTATACACTTGTCAGAAGGCTGAGTCAATGTGCGGGGTAAACCACAACAAACACGCTCCATTTCCAGGTCTTCATTGGGCATATGGCATCTTCCATCATTCAGCACCCTGGACAGCTCCACTGAAACTAAGCAAAACTTGGAAGTCCCAAGTGTGCAAAGTGAAGCACTTGCATATGTATCCTAGGCTTTGCAGATACTGTACTCCAAGCAAGATACCGTGGTCCTGGCCTTGAGACAGTTGGTTAGAGGAGGTAGCAATCTGGGGTGTGTGTGAAAGTAAAATGGAGCTGTTTGCTTCCTTCCCACTGCTTGGTAAAGTGAAGGGAGGATGAGCAACCTGAGCAGTATAGAGGTGAAGAGAAAATTGTATGGGTCTGGGGTGGAGAGCATCTTTCTCAGGATATCAAACATGGCAGTGATAGGCACTGTGTTTTCCCATATGAGCTTATTCTTGCAAGCACCTACTTCCTAACCCTTTCCCCCACAAACTTTAGGGAAGTTTTTTATGTTTGATGTTTTATTGTGCTTTTAATTCTGCTGGGAGCCACCCAGAGTGGCTGGGGAAACCCAGCCAGATGGATGCGGTATAAATAATAAAATTATTATTATTAATAATATTAATAATAATAATAATAATAATAATAATATGGTAGCATGTAAAGAGGTGAAATCGCTGGCTCTGAAGCATCAGCCAGATTTAGGTAAATTAGTGGATGCAACATGAATGCAATATCAGTGTGAGAGAATCTAAGAGTGGACAAATGCACAAAACACTGGAGGCAGTGTGAACTTTACCATCACAATCTTATATTAATATATCAATAACATTGCACATCCATTAGCCAGCCTATACAGGATGTTTCGGTGCCATGGAAGTGTTTGCATATTGAGGTGGCAATCTTAGTCACATTTCCTTCTAAGTTCCATTTGGAACTTGCTTCCAAATAAGGGTGCTTATTGCACAAAATAAAATATGCTTGCTAAATGTATCCAAACTTAACAAATTTCAGACACTGCTGGGTCATATTCATTAACTGAAATCATATAGTGTTTCTAAAAATAACAGAGAATTAATTTTCAGATAAGTGCAGAAATGTATCATCTGTGCAAACTTCTTCTTTTGTTTTTGTCTTGCAGTGACAAAAGGCGAAGAAGTACAAATAACTATGGTGAAACACTTTAGGATAGGCCTCGATGAGAATTATGAAATATCTGAAAAATGGTTTCTTGACGATTTGGAGATGATTGATGGGAAAGAAGCTGATACTGTAAGGACTGCATTTTATTATAAGGCATCATTGTACTGCAGTTTGTGATGTAATCTTTGGAATGAAATGTTAACGCAAGAAGTTATTATGTTAAAATTGCATCATGAGATTTCAGGCTGAATATTTTGTAGCATATCCATACTATGATTGCTCCACATAAACCTTTGCTTGCCAAAACCACTAAGCAGTCCCTTTCAGTTCTATGAACCTTATCCAATTAGCAGCAGCAACAAAAAGAACCATTTGAGTTTAAAGGCTTTCCATGTTCTCTCAAGCTCCAAAATGTGTGGAAATTACAGTCTTATTTAAGCAGTATTGATATAGTACGTTATCTTATGGTCAGTTTCAGCACTGCCACCATCTTGGAGCTCAAATTACTATGGAAATTCATTTATGCAACATATTAAACCCAACTTTTTGTTAATTGAATACAAACATTTTGAATGAAGAAGGAAGACCTATCCTCAGTAATAGGAAATTAAACAACATCTAGAAAGGCAGGAATTCACATGCAACTTACGTTGTTACTTTTAATTGGCTAATTTATTGAGCAAAATGAAGTTAGAAATAAAAGTTGGCAATTTATTTTCTCGCCAGGGTTTCCACCCCATGTCTCTCAAATCTACTCCCTGCCTCCTTTCACCTCTGAGTTCGAAACCTCTTGGCCTAACTGAACTTTAAATACTTTAAGGCAGAGGTTTTCAACCTTTTTGAGTCCACGGCTGCCTTGACCAACTACAGTCTTTCTGCAACACCCCTGTGGGGCTCAGGAGCCCAGTTATGTCACCCCTTGCCTGCAGAGCTGGCAGCCTCTCATCCTTTTTCAAATACCCACCCTTGTGGAGTGTTCCCTCAGGCTCCTCTCCTCTCCCCTCTCTTTGGGAGTTGTCTGAGCAGCCCCAGCTGCCGCCCCTGGTCTCTGAGCTATCTTCCTGCCCCAAAGAGAGCTTCCTTCTCACACTGCACCACAGGGGCCTGGGAAGCACCCCAAAGCCAGCCCCAGAGGCACAATTTGCCTGGGAAGCTTGTAGCTAGGGCTGCTGCAACAAACAGCTGCACAACCCTTTAGGAGGCAGATATGTGAGAGGGCATCAGAGGAAGGAGGGAAGGAAAGAGGGACAAACACCAGTGCTGCCTGCAGCACCCCTGACCATCCCACAGCACACTGGTTGTAAGCCACTGCTTTAAGACTTAGGCCTGATTTGTCAAAGAGAGAGAAAGAGAGACAGAGACAGAGAGAGGAAAGTACTCTCGCTCTCATCTGATTCTATTTCAATGACATACACCAGGGGTTAGCAAACTTTTTCAGCACGGGGCCGGTCCACTGTCCCTCAGACCTTGTGGGGGGCTGGACTATTTTTTTTGGGGGGGGGAATGAACGAATTCCTATGCCCCACAAATAACCCAGAGATGCATTTTAAATAAAAGGGCACATTCTACTCATGTAAAAACACGCTGATTCCCAGACCGTCCGCAGGCCGGATTTAGAAGGCAATTGGGCCAGATTCGGCCCCCGGGCCTTACTTTGCCTACCCATGACATACACCATTTCAAAATTTCAGAAATATTAATTTTTAATAGCAACGAACATATCTGAAGCAAATTATAACTATTCAAATATTTCTATTTCATAAAAATTTCTTCTAACTGGTGGAAGGATTCCCTCCCCACCCCCAACAACAGCAACCAAAAGAACTGGCACAAGTTGTACAAATTAGAACCACTCAAGAGTTTGGGAAATATTTCCAAAATCTATATTGGATCAATAATCCACAACAACATGCCCAAGCTACAAGGCGATTGAGTGCAGTGCAATAAGGAGTTTAGACACTGTCGTACAAGTAATTATTTTTCTCTTTTTATTTCTTTCTTTTCAGGATAATCCGTGGTTTGATATGCATTTCAAGAAAGTCTATAGTTGGGAAGCTTATAGCTGTGCATCTAAATACGCCTTTGCGCGGACATTAAATAAACTGAACGAGATGTACCTCCAGAAGGACTTGAAGATAGTCAACTTTGATTTTACCTACATAAATGATGGTTCACTCTGGTCATCTAACAATGGGGATGACTGCTTAGTACTCATGAGAATCTGCTTCTATGCATCCAACCTTTTGTGTCTGTCTCTGTGCCCTCTGCCTGTCTGACTATTATCACTCTCTCCGGATTTGGATACAATTTCAAAATAAGGTTTTTAAATCGTTCAATTCCGTACTGTCAGGGTTTCGATTTTTCATAAACGGTTACAATTTTTTATATAAATTGTTCATCTCAAAGAGAGAGTCTTGATAAGTATATGTATGTGCTTAAATATCTATTTCCAACCACTTATTTCACCAAAATTGAAACACATATTCAGGCTGCGTTCCTGTAATCACATACCCCATTGGACTCCATGGTGTTTCCTCTGAATAGACATGTATAAGATTGCAATATAGCCACAACTACACAAAACTGTATGTTAGTTTTATACCGGTCTAACTGGTCTGGCTTCTCCCAAAGAAACCTGGGAACTGTAGTCTGGCATGTGTTGGTGCTTTAGGAGGCAAGGAATTGTCTCCCGTCCCTTTGTTACTGTGCATGCAATAAACTGCAGTGGGCAGGAGCGGCAAAGACAAGTCGTGTTATGCATTTTTGTAAGATGGTTTTCCATTTCTGCCATCTCTGATCTTTACTAGCCTTAGAACACAAAGCAAACAAATATGCACATTCCTTCAATAAAGGTAAAGGGACCCCTGACCGTTGGGTCCAGTCGTGACCAACTCTGGGGTTGCGGCGCTCATCTCGCTTTATTGGCCGAGGGAGCTGGCATAAAGCTTCTGGGTGATGTGGCCAACATGACTAAGCTGCTTCTGGCAAACCGGAGCAGTGCACGAAAACGCCGTTTACCTTCCCGCTGGAGCGGTACCTATTTATCTACTTGCACTTTGACGTGCTTTCGAGCTGCTAGGTTGGCAGGAGCAGGGATTGAGCAATGGGAGCTCACCCCGTTGCAGGGATTTGAACCACCGACCTTCTGATTGGCAAGCTCTAGGCTCTGTGGTTTAACCCACAGTGCCACCCGCTTACGCAATTTGTGCCCGCCAAGCCAAGATGGAACAGGTCCTATACAGAGAACAAACAATGTGGCTTGTCCTGCACTTCTCAGCCTCAAAGCAGAGCTAATGAACAATGTTCAGCTCTGCAGGTCACAAGTTGTGTGTGCTTTGACCACAACAAAAATGACTAAAGAATCAGAAGAGTTGCACAGCATGCGCTGGGAATCATGCAGTTCCATTTGGATTGCAACTAGGCATGAGCAGTGGGTATAAGTCTGGATTTATATAATGATTATACATGTTTAGAGCACATAGCTTCCCCAAAGCATCATGGGAACTGTAGTTTGAGAAGGGTACTAGGAATTGCATGTCTGTTAAAGGAAAACTGCAGCTTCCAGTATTCTTTGGGGGAAGCCATGCACTTTAAATGTGTCTTGAATGTGCTTTAAACAATGTGGGATGATACTGAGCTACATAGACTTGATAGATGGCAGCTTACTTTATTTAAAAAGCAAAACAAAACTTACTTTTAAGTTTTACATGTGAAAACAGCCTGCAGCAGATACATATTGCTGTCAATTTTATACTTAACACACATATGGAAGCACTGGGGGCTGCAGGAGGAAGTCCCTTTAGTAACACTTTAATGAAACAACAAAAAGTGAACTGTAAATACACCCTGCCATTCTTTCTTAATCAATACTTTCAACAGACTTGTTTGGTATCCTCGGAACTGATATGTAACTACATATTTGTTACGTTCAACTATTTTTGCTCTTGCTTGGCTCTTCTTTATATGTGTAACAGGATTCAAATGAAAATACAGTGTATACTTAAAATACCACCGCTATGAATGTGGACATCATATATGCATTGCTGCACACTCTGTTGTGAAAGTGAGCTGATTTAAACCTTTATGATACCTCATTCACATTCTCGGGGCACAATAGCTCAGGAATTCTTAAGTCATTACAACTATGTAATTTTTAAAGCGTTATCTTTTTAATTGGTTTGATTCAGGATCAACAAACATACATGGCCTGTACCTTAAAATACAACCCCCACAAAATTATGGGCCAGCTTACACTTGCTTCTGACCACTTCAATAGAGCTTTGGTTTGCAGAGGTGCCCACTTGCATCAACTGGAATGTCCTTGTGATGCATAGTTCTTGTAGCACCCCTTTACAACCCTGATTTTGGAGGAGTCATTTCACACATATGGCACCTTTGCATTAGCGCAAACCAGCCACTCCTCAGGGAGAAGGGATTTGTCTATTACATTTCTATCCCACCTTTCCTCCAGGGAGTTTAAGGCATTGCACATGGTTTCCAAACTGCCCCCCCCTCCATTTCATCTTCACAACCCTGTGATATGATGACAGGTTCAAAGTCACCAGTGGGGGATTGAACCTGAATTTCTTCAGCTGTGATCTGATGGTCTAACCACTGCACTGTATCTGACTCAGTTTGACTTGCTGAGGTCATCACACATTTCCAAGATGCTCACATCAGGCCTGACGGAAAGTCTAAACTGGCCCTAAATTTAGTGCCGAGACAAAACGAGGGGGGAAGAAAAGACAGAAGTAAGGGATAGTTTCCAGTACTTCAATTATAAAGTAAGAATCACATACACAGTTTGTGGGAAATTGTTGAAGTGGCATTGTTAAGAAAGGACATTACTACACTCGCCTCCTTCCCGAAGCTGGGAAAGCGTTAACTAGGTATTGTGATGGAGGTGAGAGGACTCTAGGGCCTTGTCAGAGCCCCCAAACCTCTTTCCCAAAGCCCAGCACCTTGCTTACCAGCTTTGGAAAGGCAGTGTGAAGGCTGGGGGAACATCAGATGTTGCTGAGGGCCACCAAAAACGGCCACAAGGGCCGCATGCAGCCCTCCGGCCACACGTTGGACCACCCTGCTGTAGATCAAGCATATTTGCAGAATGGTGGGGTGCACAGAAGGATTTCCTAGTTTGGTTTGATTGGACAGCTGGTTTCAAATTTGAAGGGTCTGATGTTTCAGTGACTGAAACTGTGTGCTTGGTTCTGTACACCCGTAATACCTCCGCAGCCTGCTACATTTGTAAATAAACAGATTATTACAAAAGATGCAGTAAGTCTCCAGTGTTCTCTCCACCGAAGAAAACTGATCCTGCAATGAATACTCTTGCATGACTACTGTCCTGGCTGGAGGGTGGCATATTTTTGAAAGCTGATTGCTTGCTGGAGGTCGCCAGTGATCAGTTTATTAAGCTGCTTGATTTTCTGAAGAGCTAAGTCGGTGAAACAAGGCAGAACACAGCTAAAGTGCAAATGGCGGGAAACAAGGAAAAAATCTGACAATGCAAACTACAGTCGACCTTGTCTAGGGCAGCATTGGCGGGACCACCATCCTATTCTTATTTTTCTTCGCCACCATCACTGCATCCAACCAGTACTGAGAAGCCTTTAACCGCCTGCCCTCAGGAGGAGCGGATGGGGACCCAGGTACACAGCTGCCCTGAGCTAAACAGCAGGCAATGCATTTACTCCAATAAATATTCGGAGTCCTTTCTCCTCCCCACATTGCTTATATGCCATGGGCTTTCGCCACGCCCCTTTGCCGGCGGTGGGAGGAGCGAAGGAAAGAGAACGCTTAATAACCCCGCCCTCTTTCCCCAATCAACGCCCATCTCCACCCTTTTTTGGTCCTGCGCCTCCTGTTTGCATCTTTCCCTCTCACAGAGATAGAAAAGTATAGAATGACCCATGCAATTATGTGCATGGAGAGTTTCCGGGTCTTGCATTAGAAGCTATGTCAAAATCCTCTCTCTCTCTCTCTCTCTCTCTCTCTCTCTCTCTCTCTCTCTCTCACACACACACACACACACACACACACACACCATGACAGCTGTCTATTAAAATCTCCACCATAGAATTGTAGACTTGGAAGGGAACCTGAGAACTAACCCCCTGCAATGCAGGAGGTATGTAGTTGTCCTGTACACAGGACTCGAGCCTGCAGTCTTGCCATGATCAGCACCATGCTCTAACTGAGTTATCTACGTAAATTGGGGGGGAATTTAGCCTTTTGTTCTAAGTGCGATTGGGATCCCCAAACAATCCCGGGGCAAATGCCTTTTTTCTATTCTTTTCGCTTTCAAGTATAGAATATATTCAGTCAGTTAGTTTCTTCTTGTGTGTACACTTGTTATATCCCCCCTCCCCCCAAAAAAGTACATAATTATATGTGCACCAAACATGGTGAGACGTAAATAAAAAAGAGAAGCAGAAACAGAACCCGTGCAGAAGGGAAAATAAAGGGGGAGAGGAAAAAACCCAAAACTGCATACTTTACAAAGTTGTTACTGTACTTCACGAGATCTCAACCTATAACAGTATTTGTGGGTTCCAAATATCATTGAATTTGCCCTTTTTCTAAGCCTGCTTTCATTCTAAGTTATCATCAGCGCGCAAGTTCTGAAGCGCTGAAAGGAGCAAGAAAGGAAATAGTACAGCTGCTCAGAACGGTCCCCCCCCCTTCGTGTCCCTCTTGATTTTTCGACATCTATGGTTATCACACTCCCCACTGATCTCTGCGGCGGCGGAGGACGCTCCTCCGTCACGTGTTACGGTCCTCACTCCGTGTACTTCCGGTTCTTTTCGGTGACAGGAGTGGGAAAGGTGAGTGGGGAGGGACGGAGGGACAGAGGCAGCGTTTCCTCGGAGCCTGACAGCGGCCGGCGGCTTTAGAGGAGCAGCTTCGGGAAAGGGCTTTTCTCCCCAGCCCAGGCTGCGGGGTAAGAGGGGTCTCTCTGCATGGCGGTGCATATAGGGTGGGCGTGGGGGGCTCCGCGGGCAATTCCCCCCCACCCGCCCCGTCGGTGCATCTGGCCGTGGCCCCTTCGCCTCACGCCTTTTACTCACCACCCCCTATAGGCCTGCTGTCGAAGCGCCCCTCTTCTTCGGAAGGGGGTCCCGAGTCCCTCAACGGGAAGCCGCCCTCGCCTGCCTTGGCTTCCCTCTCCTAAGCTCCAGGCGGTTGGGAGGTGATGTTTGTTTGTTTGTTCTGTTGCTGAAGTGGCTTCAAAGCAATCCTTTAAAAATATATATATACAGTGGTACCTCGGGGTACATACGCTTCAGGTTACATACGCTTCAGGTTACACACTCCGCTAACCCAGAAATAGTGCTTCAGGTTAAGAACTTTGCTTTAGGATGCGAACAGAAATCGTGCTCTGGCGGCGCGGCAGCAGCGGGAGGCCCCATTAGCTAAAGTGGTGCTTCAGGCTAAGAACAGTTTCAGGTTAAGAACGGACCTCCGGAACGAATTAAGTACTTAACCCGAGGTACCACTGTATTTGGTTTTTCAAATTAAAATTTCACAGAGATAAACATAAATTGTTAAAAACAAGATGCCAAGGACTTAGTCTATAACTTAGGTAGGGACGCGGGTGGCACTGTGGGTGAAACCACAGAGCCTAGGGCTTGCCGATCAGAAGGTCGTGGTTCGAATCCCCACAACGGAGTGAGCTCCCATTGCTCGGTCCCTGCTCCTGCCAACCTAGCAGTTCGAAAGCACGTCAAAGTGCAAGTAGATAAATAGGTACC